CGTACTGCTGCTCCAGCTGCCGTACTGCTGCTCCAGCTGCCGTACTGCTGCTCCAGCTGCCGTACTGCTGCTCCAGCCGCCGTACTGCTGCTCCAGCTGCCGTACTGCTGCTCCAGCTGCCGTACTGCTGCTCCAGCTGCCGTACTGCTGCTCCAGCTGCCGTACTGCTGCTCCAGCTGCCGTACTGCATGCTGCTGTTCCAGTTCCTAACTCCTATCACCATATTAACAGCCTATATAAATTCTTACGTTCAAAATCATCAAATCTCATGTTCAACAACATCTGCACATTCCAATTACCAATATAACTCGCAAGCGAAGTTATTCCTGGTCTGATGATTATAAAATTTCTGGACTAAAAACGCTTCATGGCGGAGCAGCCCAGAAAATAGTATTAAACCATGCTCAAAATTTAGAAAAATAAAATTTTGAATGCGCAATGTTGACATCGCCGCAAATTGTATAATAAGTTTAAAAGCTTCAAACATGAATTCATCTATAAGATTACTTGAATATATGATTATAATCCTAAGCAAGTGAATCCAATGTTAGCTTATTTAATTATTTAATAAAAAAATCCGTTCGAAAAATTCCGGTAAATTGCGAATCAAAGAATTGTCACCATCGCGCTCTGCAGTGATGAAAATAATCAGCAATAAAATGAGCAGAATACAATACAAACTTAATTATTATTTAATGCTTAAGTAATTAATAATAGTCACGTATAGGCTTGGATGGGTAGTCGATCTTGGGGAAGTAAGTTGAATTAACGATAGCGGAGTAAAACGATATTATTTTAATATTAGTTTGATATTATTATGAAATCATGATATTATTATGAAATCGTTATGATAATAATGTGAATGAGTCGCAGCGTCACTATTAACGTTTCTGAACTAAAAGGGAGATCAGTACCTAATTAATGTAAATAGTAGAAAGGCTCATGGATAAAGTAATTATGTACACTAAATGACTTAGGATCATACACAGAAGATAGCGCATGCCTTATCACTCATTACTCACCATCTCCTTCTTGAGCACGAGCATCTTATCAGTGAGGGCATCAGTAGACTCGTCCATTTCTGCAAGCAGCTTCCTTCTGTCGCTCCGACCACCGCGGTTGTTGCCGAAGTCCAAAACACTCGGTAACTCAAACCTAACTGCCCTCCGTCGGGACCAGCATTCAGATCTGCCAGTCACCGTTTCTGATGAAGCAGTTGATCCTTCCGTGGACCTGGCACTTTCTACCGAGATTTTGGTGTTGGTGTGAGAACCGTCAGTTCTTGCACTAGTTGGTTCACAGATTTGGGTATATGGATTGTCATTATTATGTGTCTCAACATGGCGGTTTGGTGGGCAGTTATTTGCACAACTTGTCTTGGCATGGGAACTTTTGGAATTCTGACCACACGAAGCCAAATCCAGACCACAGTTTTTTTGAGTTGCAAGAGTTCCATTACTTACTCCACACTCCCTACAACCTCGGTACCCACTAGCCAGTGCATCACACCTCATTACATTATCACACTTGTCACAAATATCATCATTTTTTGCGTTTGTATCATTACACGACACTGTACTGAATTCGACTCGATCTGTTCGCATCTCATGACAAGAACGATCTTGTTTACTGCATGTTCTCCTATCTTGACCCGTATTATTCGAGGCTGTAGAATTGAAAATTCCTGCTCCAATTTTATCCATTGCTAATTTATTACAAGAGTTTTTCGACTCAATTGGCGAAGCATGGTCCATGTCCCGAACATGAGAGTTCGTGTTAGCTTCCCCATTGCGCATCAGTTTAGTTCTGGATAACCGCGTGCTGAAGAAACGCTGGCAAGCAGCGGGATCCAAGTCACGTACCAAAGTCAAGTCGTCGGTAACTCCAACCTCTGCCGGAAACAAGTCTCGCTCGTTGACAGAACGATAAAGATTTTTATTTATGGCATCTTGATAGGTTTTTGAGTTATTTTTCGCACCTAATGTCGCGGAACGAGAATCGTTCGTTACAGAATCAACATTGAATGTATCAAGATGGCCTTGGTGTGTTACTTGAAGCGGGTTAGGTTCATTCTGAATATTGGAAGAGGATATAAGGAAATCTAGGTTGTCTCTATTGCTGAGAGGCATTAATTCTCGCTGCGGAACGCCACGTTCACAAATTTTTTGTTCGCCACAGTTGTCACTTTGGGCAAGAAACGATTGCACGGCTGCCTCAGTTAGCCTCGTTCGATCGTAAAACATTTCTACCGGTAAAGTTATGTTAATCTGAGGCCCAGTTCCAGGGCCGCAGCCAGGAGGCCCGGTGCCAACCAGGCTGATGTTGATGGAGTCATTTTTGGGTGCCATCTGAGTAGGAAAGTTGAAGGATCTTCCGGCAATAAGAGGGTTAACAGCAGAATTAACTTGTTTAGAAGGGGCCTCTTCGATAGCACGCATTTGCTTGATGGCACAGGGAATGGTGCTGCCTGAATGACAAGCTAAGTCAGTATTTTTATTCATATCGAATTTTTGCAACTCTTGTTGATAAAAAGGACTTTGAAAGTCAGAATTATTAGATTCAAATCGTTTTTCTTGGAACAAAATCTGTTCAATAGAAACGCGACCTTCTTCAAGCGGAGGAATTAGAACTGAGTTTTGATCTTCCAATTCTTCGTCAAAAAATAACGGATCGATCCCAGAAAACTTTCCAATGGTGCTTCGGCCATTTATTTTCATGGAAGAATTTTTGCAAGTTAAATGTGAGTCTGGGCTTGAAGGCGGGGACTGAAGTCCCGATTTTCTCATGAAAAAATATCCTGGCGAACTCGTGGGGTTCAACTCGGCTGGATGGTCACGATCAGAAAATGTTAGAAAATTCGTTTTCTCAAATCTTTTCTCAGAATGAAACGGATCTGTACTCGCATGATGGTGGCGTGAAGCAGAGTAATTACTTGTGTCTAATAATCCTGGGTGGACACAGTTACTAAAATGCTGGTATTGGTTAATATCTGATGTACTAGAACTTGGTTGGTGTCTAGTTGAGTCTGTTGGTGGGTTATTTATCACTTGGTGCGTTAGGTCAACTGAATCAAGTCCCGGTTTCGAGTAACTTGAATCAAACGACCCAGCGGAAACTTCCGAGTCAATTCGACTGGACGACTCGCACCGATCTTTACACTTATCGTAAATCTTCATTTGGGAGTGGAGATCCATTTTTCCATGCAGACTAGAAGTCGAGTTACTGCGAAGACTGCCGCAGTTACTGCTGCTGCTGCTACTGCTGTACCCACTGGACGCGCTCAAACATGATAAGGTGTCACACACGTTTATGCTCTTGCAATGCCGGCCGTGACAAGCGTTATCGTAGCTGCCGATCTGCTTTGACTTACTGTGGACAAGTGTATTGGTATTAGATCCGTCATCAGTATTGTTGTTGTCAATTTGATGATAGTCATTTAGTTCCTGGTTGCGTCGGGTTGGACCGAAGTTCTCAAAGCAATGCATATCAGGGAAGGTCGAAGATGACGTTGGAGTGGGCGCGCCCCAATTATATTCTCCTTGTGAATTCTCATTGATCTTCAGGAAAGCTTCGTCTCCCTTCAGTTTTTCTTGCTGCTGGCGATGGAAGTTTTCTAAATACTGTAGAACGTGAGGATTCGAAATCGGTCGCTCCTTCGAGCTACTTCCAAGGACATTTTTCTTCAGGTATTGCTGACGAACAGAAGTGTCAGATCTGTACAAAATTTCAGAATCATCGGATAATTCACCAAACTTTCTTGTGATGCCTTCAGATGAACAGCCATGGAGGTCCGCGTGACTGTATGTTCCCTTAATGTTCATGTTTGGGAAACAGAGATCAGGTTCAGATTTTCTTTTAATTCGCTGCCATAGCGCCTCTCCGAGAGTCCCGGATGCTGAGGATTTAATGCCATGAAAATGAGACAAACCAGCTGCTATATTTGAACCAAAAGCATTTAGTACGGAGCTTCCTTCGACTGTGGTTTCGAGATGAGATGGAAACGAGCGAGTAAAAGATTGGTTTACTGTATTACGGGGCGTATCGCTCAAGGAACCATTGGACTTGAGAGAAATCAGACCGTTTCGTTTCATTGTTCGTAGTTTCTTTTGTTCAATGAGCGACATTCCTCTCCCTACAGCCGTCATTTGGGGACTCTTTCCGCTATTGTTGGACTCGAGCAGAATTTTCCCGACGTCTTTGCTTCTCAACGTCGAAGAGTTCGGGAAACAAAGCTTCGGGTGGAGAAGGTTTTCACTATCGATGGAACTCAGTCGAAATACTTGGCTGGAAGACGGTGGATGTTGACTGGGTTCCTCACCGGCATCTTTGGGGAATATCAACTGCATTTCAGCAGCATACTGCACCCCGGCGGCTGGGGTTGCCTGCTGCTGTATCTTGTACGTGCCAGTCTTCATGGCGAACTGTTGGGGGAGGAAACACAGAGATCAGATGAGGTATAACTTTTCCCCTAGTAGGACAAGATGAAACATTTCTGAATGTATGTAAATAATATACAATGATTGGCAGGTCTCTATGAGAAACCTATAATGAATTGCGTTTAAAAAAATTACTTTCTAAAGACAACACTTCTAAAGAGGCCAGTGTCTCAGATGTTACTAATGTACAATGGATTTATAATTTTATTTTTAAATATTTAGCTAAAATGTAATTTGATAACTTTTCAATATATAAAAATAATTATTTTAAATGTTTGAAATTATTTATCCTGTCAATTGATACATGCGTTGTCTCCAACTTTACACATGTGTGCAAAATTTCAGATCGATTGGACAGGTAGAAGTGTGTTAAATATTGATTATAAAATTTGTAGCAGACAGACAGACAAAAAGTGAAGTTAAAGAGAAGTGCTGTAAAAAACAACGACTACGGATATATAATATAAATGTAAATATGTATCTAAAATAAGTCTGCTTCATAGATGAACAAATTCTGTTGAATGAATTTAGTGTCAGAACTCTGCGTTGGGAACATGAATTAATTGCTCTTAATTAATCTAATTAATATTATTCAAAATAAGAGAAGATCCCAATACCTATATATAAACACACGTAGGTGAATACACACCATTAATTAAAAGTTAAATTAAGCAGTGAATTGAATGTTTAAATTTACATATATTTATTTTTGTATGCATACGAAATTAAATATTTTATACATTTTTTATAAAAAATGTTATATTTTTTATTTAGAGGCGGCCGCGGGCCTCTCCGTGCGGGCCTCAAATGGCCGCATGAGCCTCATAATGGCCTTGATTTTTGGGCCCCATTAAGGCAACTAACAAGTCCAATAAAATTTAGTTTAGTTAATGTTATCGAGTACGTAACTAGAAAAGCTTCATCGACTATTATCGAGTGTGTGACGTAAATTAAGCTATTTGATTTTTACATGTATGTAAAGAAACTTTAGCAATTTAAATCGAGTAATTCAGGTATTTTTAGCTACTTTTATCGAGTAACTAGACTATTATCGAGTATGCAAAGTACTTGTATATAGCAATTTTTATCTAGTAAGTATAGTAATTTTATCTATTTTTATGGAATAAGTAAAGTAACTTTTAGTAACTTCAATTATTTTTAACTAGACAGAGAAGACACAACAGAAGTATAAATAAATATTTAATAAATATATTTCTTCTTGATATGTTGAATGACTATTTCTCTTTACAGTGAATTCATTTTCCGTCCGAATATTTGCTGATACAAAATTGGAAAAAATGCGTCAAAATATTAGGGCATTTTTATTTAATTATGGTTAAGTGATATTTGGTCAAGGGTTAAGCCTTTACCGCCATGCCGGCACACGCGTTCTCATCCATAATGCTATTCCTACCAGAGTTGTGGGTTAAGCCTTTGCTGCCATGCCGGCACACGCGTTCTCATCCATAATGCTATTCCTACCAGAGTTGTGGGTTAAGCCTTTGCTGCCAAGCCGGCACGCGCGTTCTCATCTATAATGCTATTCCTACCAGAGTTGTGGGTAAAGCCTTTGCTGCCATGCCGGCACGCGCGTTCTCATCTATAATGCTATTCCTACCAGAGTTGTGGGTTAAGCCTTTACTGCCATACCGGCACGCGCGTCCTCGGATCCATAACGGTATTCCTACCAGAGTTGTGGAATAAGCCTTTACTGCCATACCGGCACGCGCGTCCTCGGATCCATAATGCTATTCCTACCAGAGTTGTGACTCGTGGGTTAACCCTTTACCGCCATACCGGCACGCGCGTCCTCGGATCCATAATGCTATTCCTACCAGAGTTGTGGGTTAACCCTTTGCTGCCATGCCGGCACGCGCGTTTTCATCCATAATGCTATTCCTACCAGAGTTGTGGGTTAACCCTTTACTGCCATGCCGGCACACGCGTCCTCTTATCCATAATGCTATTCCTACCAGAGTTGTGGGTTAACCCTTTACTGCCATACCGGCACGCGCGTCCTCGGATCCATAATGCTATTCCTACCAGAGTTGTGGCTTAAGCCTTTACCGCCATGCCGGCACACGCGTTCTCATCTATAATGCTATTCCTACCAGAGTTGTGACTCGTGGGTTAAGCCTTTACTGCCATGCCGGCACGCGCGTCCTCGGATCCATAACGGTATTCCTACCAGAGTTGTGGAATAAGCCTTTACTGCCATACCGGCATGCGCGTCCTCGGATCCATAATGCTATTCCTACCAGAGTTTTGGGATAAGCCTTTAGCGCCCAGCGCTGCCAGCATTTACCGCATATTTCCAGCTATCAATCACTAATATAATTCATAAACAAAGAAACCAGTCGAATTCCTTTGCTATACGATCAGATTATATCAAATTTGATGCTATACTTCATTTAATTTCAGATGTTCACTTCCTCTCTTCCCTTCAGACATCAATTAATTGTGTATTGCAAAATAAAATGCATCACGGTATGACCTATGAGTTAGTATAACACTTGTCGAATGGTCGAAAATATTAGTTACAGCCTCCGATTAACATTTGAAATACTGCTAAGCTGTTTAAATGCTACTATGAAAGTTTATTTCACTTGGGGATATGAAAAAAATATAACTCTATATTCAGTGAGTGACAGAGAGCGCATTTTCTCGTCGACGAAAACGTGAAGTCACGGACGGACAGACAGAAGGACAGACAGACAGACGGACGGACGGACATGACGAGCACAATAGTGCATTTTTTCCATAAATGAGAAAATGCGCTAATAACTTTCCGCTTGGACGCTGGCGACATCATTGTTTTGGAGACTTATGCATGTGACAGTGAACGGCTTTAGGTCATTTCAATTTTCAAGAGATGCACAGAGCGCGACATCGCACGAGTGGAATGCAGCAGTCGCGCTCCATAGTCAACTGGACTTAGAATTATGAGTAAACTTAAGTATTTAATCATAACATTTATACAGCCAATCCAGTGTGAAAATAGAAACTGAAATTCAGCTCATACAATCCCAACAAACGTTACGTATAACAGAGAAATCATAAACCTTCATGAAATAAAGAATTTTTCGACGAAGATGACATACTTGCTTATACAATGAAAGAAAACGTTCAAAACAGTTGGACCGTTATATATATATGCACGATTAAGTATATGCTAAGCTGTTTTTGAACCCTAAGCTCCTTACCGATCACTTTTGCGACGACGTCTCCCTAATATGGCATTTAATGGCAAGAAGCCAAGTGTCTCTTTCTCCGCGTACAAATGGCACTACAGGATCTAGTTCCTTGCCCCACTCTCACTTTTGCTGCGCGACAACACGCGCGCACCTCACACCACGACGTCTGCAGCCTCACTGGCGCGAGTCGAAAGTTGTACGGGATGCGGAAGTCCCGTTGTTTTCTGGAGGAAGAAAATAATTGGCATAGAAAACTAATTTCAGTCAAAAAAATATGGGGTACTCACCTATACGAGGTTGCGGATATGGATGAGCTTGTACTTGAACTGATCTTTCAAATTTCCTACAGTATTAACTTATTTGTACCGTGAAAAATGACGCGTTGTATGAGTGTTTTTCATTAAATTGTATGAATCTCTGTCGTACATTAAATTTTCAACATATATCACATAACAATTCGTCGAATATAAACAAATTCATTCGAAATATTTAGTCCACTCTACATAATTTATACCTACATTAAGTGATAATTTCAGAGTGAAAATATGAAGTGAAATTGGACAGACATCTAAAGTGTGAATATATGCACTCAATAACACTATAATTACGCAATATTAAAAAACGTATTTAAATACTGGAGTGAAAATTGCGAGTTCTAAAAGCATTAACGTTTAGAATTTTCGAGCAGGGAAGTCTATAATTTATGGAAACGATAGAAAATTATATTCATTAAATGCGTGGTTCGCGAGCCATACAAAAAAGACATTTCGTGATTTCCCTGCTACGGCCACTTCGCGTCCCTGCTACGGCCACTCCGCGTCCCTGCTACGGCCACTCCGTGTCCCTGCTACGGCCACTCCGCGTCCCTGCTACGGCCACTCCGTGTCCCTGCTACGGCCACTCCACTCCGTGTCCCTGCTACGGCCACTCCGCGTTCCTGCTACGGCCACTCCGCGCCCCTCCGGCGATATTCCATCACATGCCTTAATCACGTGCCTAGCTTTTCCCGCGCAGTTACAAGGTTGAGTGCCGCTGTAAGTTTTAGCTTATGTATCCATAAATTAGAATTTATAGCTCAATTGATAATGTATTGTTCAAGAATTTATTGCTCAATATTTTCAGTTGGGCACTAATATTAAGCGTATGTTAGCCATATTATAAGGTTTATCAATTAATATATTGTGCGATTTTCAAATTCTTCAAAATCGTTCAAATAGTCTGCGTAATCTGGAGAACACATATTTTCGTTTAGTATAACAAAAATACGTGGAAATGAGAAATAAATGTCTACATTTTTAACATGTTGAGTGCGGCACCCAGCGGTGGGTTGAAAAGTATTTTTTCCCGGACAAATTCCACAGTTTAGTTTTTTTTTAAATTGCGTTTTCCGACAAAAATTCATGATGTTTGTACTTCCGTATTAAATATTAAAAGTACGAAGAAAATTGAAATTTAATCTTTGCACCGGAAACGACAAATTTAGTTGCTAATTTTGAATTATAGGCCCTTTTTGTCCGCGGACTTGGCCGTTTTTAGGGCATCAGACAACTCTGAATAAACTAAATATTCAAGAAAATAAATGCGGCCACAATAAAATCATACAACACAATTCATCTACACTCAACGATTAAAATGAGTTTCTTGCAATCATGAAAAAACGGCAGAAATAACCAATTTTGTCAAAGAATTAATTAATGATTGGATAAATATTTGATCTTATGAATTTGTTATATTTCATTACACACGAGAGTCGAAATGACTATCAAAGCTATTCAAGGTTCTTGTCAAAAACTCCAACATATTATTGGATAAGGTTCAACCTTTTAATACAAAAACATTATAGCATTTATATCTTCCGAGCAGCGATTTAACTAACCACTCAAGTTTTTAACATGTAAAAATAACCGTAGCGAAAACTGTCTTATTTCGAATGATTTATGGGAAAGAATGAGCCAAAACACACGGACACTGACTCTATAGACTCCTGCGTCTCGAAATAAATTTCTCGAAATGAACAGGGACAAGCGGGACGAGACGAGAAATTACCGCGAAAAAATAACGGGACAGAGGGTAAAATTTGGCCCGGAATAAACGTATGAACCGGGACATGAATTGTGTCCCGACTTTACAACTTGTGGCCCGGTAATTATGAACCGATACGAGACAGATTGATATAAAACAAGACGTGGCGTAACGAGACAGAAATGTCTTAAATATTCAAGGAGAAACAAGATATTACTCATTATATGAAAACAAAACGACACATTCCGGACGCAAGGTTAAGAGGTACCAAGTTAACTCATGAGTGTTGATGGACAGTTGCCAGTCATGGGCAGATGCGACGACATTTGGCTGCTAAACTAAATTGACACTTTATTTAGTAGGCAAACTTGACGATGTGTGACTGAAAATTTAGTGAATGACGTTGCAGTTAAGCCCTTAATCGCGAGCGACGAGAAACGTGCGAGTTCGGTACGCTTAATTAAGGACATCATCAACCATGCACTTAATGGCATCATGGCGAGTCGGTGACGTGTTGTCGATCGGTCAGCCGCTTAGTAGAATGTGGATGGGCTTTCTCAAGCCCTGCAAGATGCCACAAATCAGTGGTATCTAGAAATATTTTAAGGAGCAAAGAACAGGCAAGTCCCCTGATGGCTGAGGTATTAACCGGGCCAACAGTCGGTGCAAACTTTGTGGCGATATTTACAAGTTCAATGATGGCAACATACAGGGCATGCATTGACATCTTCCATGGCAACGCTGGTTAGGTTAGGCTAGCGAAACATAATGCCGGCGAAAACAGACTCTGTTGTGCCATTAGACGAACTGGAAAACATATGCTGTGAAGATGAGGCTGTATTAATTTCAAAAGTCTGGTCTTACACGATAATATTAAAGATATATGTCGTTATTTTTGATGTCGGTAAACCAAAGCCAAAGTTTTCACCCAAGCATAGCTATGCCATCACCACCTTCAGCCGACCCGTCCGCAGATGAGAGTAATTAGTCCTAAGCAAGGGGGAGAACGTACAACCTTACGCTCTTTGAACTTGTTCGTTTGACCTCTCAATAATTTAATTTTACATTAAAGATTGTTAAAAAAGAAGCATAATTGTTTCCCTGGCAGATGTCTCGTAAAAACTTGCTGCCTGGAAGTAGGCTAAAACGGGCAGCTACATGGCAGCTACTCTATTGAATTTAGGTACAAGTGTATAGAAAACAACCAACGAAAACGACGAAACTTTTATTCAGAAGTCCAGGCGAAGTTGTTAACATCTTCCAATAGCGAGATGATAACGGCAAAGGTTGCAAAAGCTGTAGAATAAGAATGACATTACTATTGGAACGGTAATTGTTGGGCATATTAAACAATATTAGCTTGCAATTGGAATGAGTCCCTAATGCGAGATTGAGGCTCTCTCAAGTCTTACCGCGAAAGCGACGTTACAGGACAACGTTATTTAGATCCGGTTATGGAAAAAAAGAACAAGTAGCAGGTTTCAATTCCAATCGGTAAGTTGAGGTGCGGAGATTCTTATCTGGTGAATATGAACGGTTGACTTAGTACAATATACCGAATAAAGTCTTAGCTAATATCGCAACTAATAACAGTCATAGCAAACACAATCAGAATGAATTTATTGATACATACCTATTTGTTACCAAGGATGGCAACCATAGTAAGAGTTCTCTTCTGAGAACAATAAGAAGTGAAAACAGTGAAAATAGGGTAAGGAGTGTTCGCTCACAAGTCAAGGTAATAAGGGTGAAGTTAAGTTAAATGCAAGCAAGCATGCAAGTTAAATCCCACAAAGGGCCCGAAGAATTAAGTTCAAAAGCTCCACGGAGCCAAACCCTACGGGTTCATAGAAGGCTCATAGCCAATAAGAGAATTGTGACGAGCGAACACAGGGGCGCAAACCTGCAATTTAGTAACTTAATAAAAGGAAAACACATTCGCGCAAACACAAAATCAGAAAAAGGCAAAAAGATTTCACGAATGAAGCAAATGGTTCCAGGATCTAATCCGCACAGTCGTAAGTCTAGTTCATCACTCTCAACGATAAGGCAGGAGGCAGACGACTTCGCCTACTAATAAGTGACTGTCGACGAGCGTAATTACAATAAAGGTTTTAACAAGTAAATGAATTTTAACAACTCGCTATATTAACCCCCTGAAGTTGACAGTACCAAAGGCCACTAGCCAATTAGTGACGATTATTACTGACCGAAGTTTAAATCGAAAACAAAGCAACGCAAAAATTTGCGTCGATTCCTACCGCAGAGTAGGGCAAGTAATTAGATTTGTTTTAAATTTCATGAAGATCCGTTCAGAACTGAGTCACTTGTGAGTTGTTCAGTTGCGTAATTTTTTTAATCTGTAGCAAAATTACACAGAAATCTGTAATAATTCCTCCCGCTGCGCATTTCTAACAATTAGTTATGTTTTCAATTTCACTCTAGCCTTTCAAATTTGCTAGATGGGGCATAGCGATGTCATTTTACATAGTAATATTCCTGAAACGTTTCTTACAGACAAAATGTTGATCAGATGATTATTATAATTCATTCAGATTTAATTCTGATTCATTAATATAATTACATATTAGGGATCAACTAGTATGTCTCGTTCTGTCTCTCTATGTCTCGACATAAAAGATGGAAATTCCGAAAAATCTTAAAACTCCTCTTTTTTAGACCTTGACGTCTCGTCACTGTATTGTCCCAGAATTCCTAGGGAGTGCTGAAAATTGTCCCGGTATTTATTGCTAACCGGGACAAACCTATTTGTATTGTCTCGTCTCGAACGGGAAAAAGCACCAAGCACTGGAGTCTACGAGCCACGAAACTTTCACTATAGCTCAAAATAAACATGCTCAATCGCGAGGAATCGTTTCCATGTAGTGGATGTTTTTTTTTCAATTACCTCGAAAAGATGAATTGATACCAGAAATTATCAATTGATGGAAATTTGTAGTCATTCTTTTGAATCCAATTCATCTTTCTTGTAATATCTCTATATCCATTACTAGTATGTGTGAATAAATTAGAAAAGTGCTTTGAGTTGGTGGTCATTCTAAAGGAAAATAATTAATAGCCGCGTTTGCGATGCTGTTAACCGGTTTCTGCCAATGAAGCCTATCTCAAAGTGATG